TGTGTATGCCTGTCTGTAGGTGAACAGGTCTTTGGTTTATATGTCTTTCTGTGTGTGCCTGTCTCTGTAGGTGAACAGGTCTTTGGTTTATATGTCTTTCTGTGTGTGCCTGTCTCTGTAGGTAAACAGCTCCTGCCTTGAGGAGGTGAGCCATGAGGAAGCTGTGGCCGCCTTGAAGAACACCCCCGATGTTGTGTACCTGAAGGTGGCAAAACCCACCAGTGTCTTCATGAGCGACAGCTTCATCCCGCCTGACGTCACCAACTGTGAGTTCCCTTTGCCTGCTTCTCCCAGGCCACTGCCAGCGCTGTACCCTCCTGGCTGTAGACATCGCCACTTTGGCCATCTGTCGCCACAGCACCCAATGGAGCCTCCTTCATCATTGTTCGGATTTAGTTACCGCAGTGACTGTTACATTATTTACACAGCTGAGGGATTTTAACACCCATTTCATGCCAGCTAATGCGTTTGGTGCGGGTAACAGCTGATGGCAGTCCAGAATCAAACAAAACATCAACAAGCGGTTTGGGTTTGGAGGGTTCCTGTCGTGTTTAGAGGAATGTTAGTGGACTGCATTATCTGAGCAGCGGTCGCTGATTATGGTCAACTGTTCCAGGCATCTCCCATGCAACTTTAAATCTCTGCTTTTATTCTCCTGAATGCATTTTGAGTGAAGGTCGTATCTGTGTACTTTGTGTCAGACACTTCACTAGCTTTTTTCTTCATCATTAATTCCAGGGTGTCCCCGGCCTCATGCCTTGTCCTTCCTGGAAAGGTTTCAGGATCTACCAGATAAGGGATTGCGGAAGATGGATGGAATAATGGATAGGAGTGTTTTAAATGTCCCTTTTTCCCAAACCTATTGCTTGAGTTACGGTGTACAGAAATAGTGTTATAGAGTGTAGAGTTGTAGAGTGTAAACAGCGCTCATCATTCAGGCTGGCGGATTGTACTTAGTGAGTGAACCTAAACAGAGATGCGCTCAAATCGCTTTGTGGGCCAGCTGCAGTTTACTGAGTCGCCAGCATGGAGCTCTAACAGCATGTAGATGGGCCGCCATATCGATCACGCTCTGGGATGAAAGGTCAGCGCCGTAGCGTGTGATCTGAGCCGCAGCGCTGCGCTCATGTGTTGCCTGCATGACGCTTTCACCAAAGAAAACGCACCCTTCCGTGGAGGAGGGGGGGGCACCAGTAACGGACCTGCGTGCCTCCCCTAAAGTGACTGCGATCTCCTTATGGACCAGCGTGTCACCTGTGAACCACACGACCCCTGCATCCTCCATGATGATTAGCAGCAGGAGATGAATAATGAGCTTTTTTAAAAATTGGGACACACTATCCAAAAGCAGACCTCTTTCACTTTCGTTGTCAATGACCAAATTACGAAGTGTAATTAATTTCCTATCGGTTCAGAAATGTGGTTTTGTGCTTAGACTGCGGACGTGCAACATCCATCAGTCAGGCCATGAATTGCTTACAGCACAGCATGAATCACTCAGAGGCTTGGACACCCCACCTCCCCCAGTAGGGACAGAGTAAAATGACATGTTTATAGGACGATGAGGAGGTCTTGCAGCTGAGCCGTCTCAGGCTTCCACGGGAAACAAATGACATTGGCTGACATTGGTTGAGGCTGCGCACTTTGTGGTGCTGTGTGGTGCGACACTACATGTTCCTCAAGTACACTGTACATCCAACAATCAGAAGAGCGCCCCCACCAGGCGATACTGGGTCACTGTGCTGGCTCAGTTAGCATTGTCGATATTTACCTATTTTTTAATAACTCTTCAGCAGTCCGGAAGCTGGCTAAATGTTGGGTGATCATGGATCCCGTATGGGGATGCTGTCATCTGGGTCTCAAGGCGTGAAGGACAGGAAAATTAAATCACGAATGGGGTCACGCGGTCTCCCCCCCCCCCATCCCCAACCCCACTAGCTTGTCCATGTAGCAATAAATCCAAGTAGGAAGGAGACGATATGTGTAATGTTGGCTGCACAGCGA